GGCACAGCGGTGCACTGACACAAAGAATAGTTCAGTTGTTGAGCTGTCACCAGACAGACATATTTCTGCCAAAAGTCATCTTAGCATTTCATATAAGCTTGGAAAAAGATGATTTTACATTTGGATTGTTTGGCTCCACCTAGAGAGTTTCCACTAGCTATAAAAAAGCTGTCATAGAGTATATTGTACATAATAGTTCACAAGCAAACAGCTATATTATGATGGCTGACTGAAAGAGGGAAGGAAAGTAAAATTGTAGGGCTGGTAATGATTAAAATGTTCCTGTTCGATTAATGGCATCACATCCTGATCCTCCTCACAGGCCGGTCTTTGGTTTTCACATGCGATGCACTCATGAACCAGGAGACTCACCGGCCCAAGTGATTCCGTTCAGGTAACGAAGGGAAGGGGGAGGAGTCCGGTGACGTCGATGTCCGTGACGTCACCGGATCTCCGATGGAAGACCCGGAAGCCGGCGGAGAGGTGAGTTCCGATCAAAATAATTTTGATCGATCAAAAAAATTAACCATTAATCGAGGGATTAATCGTTAATTTCCGCAGCCCTATAAAATTGCAAAGCATAGCATGTTATTTGTGGTTGTCAGTCAGTGATTCATGAAGACTTTTGGGTCATCGATTTTGTTTTAAATTGGAAAGCCTGGTTTTTACACCTAGGAACCATAATTGCCACGTTTTGACACCAAATTTTCCATAATCTAATAAGATTTAATAATGAAAAAACATTACTAAAGTGAGAGAGTGCTTTAAATATTTTACTGATATGTGTATGCATCCAAGGATGATAATAAACAGGCAGATACTTCGCCATAATAGCAGATATTATACTTACCATGAACAGCCAAAACCGGCACTAGTAGTCTGTGGTACAGAGATCCTGGTGCAGACAATGATCCTGGTGCAGACAACCCTCACACTAGGGGGTTGATTTACTAACCTTATAAACACACCATGAACGTGTATACACCTCTGTAGTGTGTTCCCTCCCAGCATGATCTATGGGAGGAATCGAAACACCTTTGTAGTGTGTACACACCCAGCAGGTGTGTTGTGCAAAGCCCTGCAATGAATTGCAAGGTAATGTGGTGTAAATTAGCTCTATGTTATGTTGCTTGCGTTGATGAATGCAGGAATGTAAATGCATTAGCTAACCATTTTTGTCTAAACTGTGAAGCAGCATTATATATGCATCATGTGCATGATTTTTCCATACATGGCATTAGTGGAAATATGCTTTTAGAGACTTTTTGGTTGATAAATACGTTTTGCTGTGTGAAAATCACACACACCTGGTGCGTGCGTGTGTTTAGGTTAGTAAATCACCCCCTAGATCTCCATGTAACCCTCACACTAAATATCCTTGCAACCCTCAAATTAACTCTCCCTGAAATCCCAGGTCTAACATTAATCCTTCCTGTAAACCTCACAGTAACGTTTCCTGTAATTCCAACTTTAACACTAACCCTCTCTGTAACCTTTAACAGTACTCAACTTGTAACTTTCACATTAATCATCCATGTAACTCTCACACTAGATCTGTTTGTATCAGTCACACTAAATTCCCTTGTATTTCTCATTCAAACCATCCCTGTATCTCTCACACTAACTATTCTCTGTACCAGGATCATTTGCACCGAAAACTTGCCTTCCTGTGCCACAAGATACTACCACAAAGGTCATAGCACCATAGTTTTGTCTCACCCATAACATCCCACCTCTTTGCTGAAAAGATCAACCTTAGCACAGCTGAAACTGGCATTGCAGTTCATACATGCATATTTAATGGTGTTTACTCCGCTAAGTCAACATGTGCGATAGAAGAACAATGATCCTACTACGGTCTGCCAGTGGTGTGTGGCATGGTGAAAACATTTATTTAATAATCTCAGAGGTTTAGAAATAACCTGAAGTGGTGGGTCTACATTTAGATTAAACTGGAAATCCTTTTTGAACAAAGCAAAATTGGTATCTTTATTTTACTACAAAGTGTAACTAAGTTAAGGGAATAATAAAATAGTAGTGCAATTTTCAGAAACAATACAAAGAAAACTCTACTAAAGTAGACTATTTATTGATACTTTCAGTTGTGACAATATTGTGTTTCTATAATATTTGTTTTTTTAATAGTGTGTTAAAAAAATTGACTTGATCTTAAAATGTATGTTCTGTACTGATATCGTATTTTCTTTGTGCGGCTGGGTAGGGCCTATGCTTGTCACACTTGTGTGCTACATAGATAATTTTTTTAATATTAATTACTCATTGAAGGGAGTATCAACCTATGCCATAAACAAGCAGCGTACACTACAGAACACGAGAAACACAAAGTATTCTTGTATGATTACAAGTATTGTTTGCCCTCTGAGTTTTTGTTCTATGTAACCCATAGCAACCATTCAGCACTCACCTAACATAACTTTAATTAACTAAAAGGATGATGTTAATCATGGTAGTTTACACATTACTGCTGAAGGTTGTTCTATTCTTACTATACATATAGGGCCAAAAGCTTGTGGATAACTGATCATCACACATATGAGCTTGTTGGGCATTAATCTGGTGTTGGCCCCCAGCTATAACAGTCTCCACTCTACTGGGAAGACTTTCCACAAGGAGTTTATCTATGGGAATTTATGTCCATTCAGCCAAAAGAGCATTTGTGAGGTCAGATACTGATGTTGGATGAGAAGACCTGGATTACAATTGATGTTCCAATTCATCCCAAAGGTTTTTAGTACAGTTGAGAGACCTGAGGAGGCCACTCAAATTCCTCCACACCATATTGGGCAAACCATGCCTTTATGGACCTGGCTTTGTGCACAGGGGCAGAGTCAGGCTAGACCAGAAAGTAACCTTCCCCAAACTGTTGCCATTAGGTTGAAAGCACAAAGTCACTTAAAATGGCTTTTGTATGCTGCATCATTTAAAGTACAATTCACTAGGAAGACCTGAGCTCAATAATTTGGAGGGTTGTTCAAATAACTTTTGTCTTTTTAGTTTGAAAAATACTGTACATTTTCATCCCTGCTGTTTCTGAGCAGTGAATCAATTTGTATACAAATGGACACTCTGCTTAAAAATCAGAAGCCTATCAGCTTCCCCAGTTCTCTTCAAAGTTGTAATTATTTATTTAACCCATTATAGATATAGGCAGGTCTACACTGTAATTTTTTTTTATAGTATCATGGAAGTGAATGAGGTAGAGTTGACAGTGCTGAGAAGTCATGTCATTTGAATTGGATGTACAGTTTAATTTGACATGGACACACTTCATTCAAGCAGTCTCTGTATGGTTTCGCATGAATGAAACGTCATTTAGGCTTTTGATCACTTATTGTATAATAAGGGCCTCCATTTGTTGTGAGAGACAGAAGGGTATTACTCGAATAATGACCCCTGATGTACTATTTTGTCTGGAGAAACCAATTCCTAAAGGGATTATTAGCAATCCAAGGTCTGCCTTGTGAGAACATCAATAGAATTATTATATACATTAAATAGCAGTCCTTTCTCATATGACACTTAGCTATATCATCAGTGTTCACAAATAACCTTATACGTTATTGGCAAGTTAGAGTATTTTTTGTTTAAATAAACAACAAAACAATATGACCAAGACTGTAAACTGCCCAATAAAACAGTTGTCAGGGGAGAACCTGCACGTGTTTTTAGGGATAGATTCATAAGAAAAGTGTAACTGTTTGGAAAGGCCCTATATTTGAATTCAAGAAACATAGAAGCACCATTACTGTTTGAAACACTGGAAAGTATTCTTTCTAGTTCTTCCCTGTAGCCAGGACCAGTCAGACAGTTTGCTGTTACCAAAATGGCTAACCCCTAGTGTGTAGGCAGGTATAAATGCACACTCTGCCTAACTTAGAAAACTAGAAAACCCCTGATTACATATATATTGCATACCTGGTCTACTGTAACTTTATCCATATTCTGACATCTTTAAATAGACAGTAGCACACTCATTTTGTTGTGCCTTTCCTATGTATGGGGAATGAGCAGCCTGATACGAATATTTGACTGCATTTACATGCTGTGCGTGGACCCCTAGTAATACTGAGCTTTAATTCTTGTTCAGGCATTTAGGGCCCACTTATATCTATGTGTTTTAAAGTGGTTTGCCATCGTTCTTAATGGCTCTAGTTCACATGTATGTCGTGCACTGATCTACATTGCTAAAAAAAAAGTCCATGTCTATTTTTTTCTTGCGTGTTATAAGGCTTTTTATAGGACATGTCTGCATGACAATGCACTTTCCCAAAGCAATAATTAAAAAAAATGCTCAAGTAAAAGCAGATGCATATACAGTGGTTCACAGACTTAATTTGTTCCGCAATTCTAGTTGCGAACCGATTTGGTTGTGAACCGAATCAAACTGTGATCTCGACTAGAGGAAGCCATGACCATGTGTCAGAGCAGGGAAAATGGTTGTGGTTGTGTTCGTCACCCGAAGCGAAGTTCGCGAATGGAGGCAAAATTTTGCTGAACTTCTTGTTCGCGAACCGAATTGTTCGCGAACAGAAGCTTTCGTGAACCGAGGTACTACTGTAATAGATGTGCATCCATTCTTAAACTACTTCTTTAAGCGGTTTAGTAATGTTTGAGACATACTTACGGAGGCATGTGTACTGTACTGTAATAGCTGCATATTGCCCGCCTATGCTATACGGCATGTATAGTAAAAACATTCTGGGTATTGCTGGGTATGTGAATTTGGATGCTCAGGCTGACTCTTCACCTCCTCATCAGTATAAAACCCTGACAATGTCTTTAAGAAGATTGCCTTGAGACACATGTCACAATTCATTTGACTAATTGGAAATGACTCATTAGCCAGCAGTCGACTTGGAAGGTATAGATGCTTAATGGGTCAACGGTCTCTTAAGTGTTTATTAAAAGAACACGAGGATGTGGATTTCCTTTGACACAGATAAGTAGGCACTAATCTGTTATTTGTTCTGGAATTACAGTGCTGAAGGGTGGGGCTCTGGAAGGCACCTACAGATTGAAACAATTCCACTTTCACTGGGGATCCTGCGATGGGCACGGCTCCGAACACACCGTGGATGGAGTGAAATCTGAGGCCGAGGTAAGCTAGTCTTGTCATTTCTCAGTCAAAATAATTTCTTTGAATTCTTCTCATTTGAACTCATATTCCCTTTCTTTGGAGGAAAAACCTCATCAACACTATAAGTGGTCTGTGAATTTGTGCAAATTCAATTTCAAAATCTCCCAATTGGGGATACAAATAGCAATGGAGTTTTGGCATAGGTTATTATAACCATTCATTACTCAAACCCAGACCAGAAAAATATGCTTTGACTGAAGTTGGGATGTAACCCTCATGTCCAACCTAAGGAGGTGCTCCCAAGCTTGGAATAGGTATAAATACTAAATTTCACTGAATTTTATATGAACTTGTTTGACAACCCTACTTCATCCCAAACTGATATTTCAGGACCGAGTAGGCAACAGATACTGTATCTGTGATTCAAGAAGCTATAAGAAGCCAGCATGTGCTTTAGCTTTTTGGTTGTGTATTCGGGTGGACCTTTTACCTACAGGTACAGCTTGTTTTTGTAGCTTATCCCCTTCGTGACTGACGACGTACAGTGTACGTCGCCAGCATCGGGGCTGTTTAAACAGACTCCCGGCGACTTTTGCCGCCGGGACTCTGTTTAAACTTGTAGAGCCGACTGTCGGCTTTACAACAGAAGCGATCCTGGCGACTTACCTGTCGCCAGATATACTCGTTGTAACCTCATCTTTTATATGTCATTTAAAAAATTGGTATTTTGTTGTGTTTTGGGGCATTAAATTAAATTTTTCACTAAATGTTGGGGTTTAATAAGGAGTTGCGCTAATATTGCGCAACATAAAAATTTGCAACTACCACCATTTTATTCTATAGGGTCTTGGCATTCAGAAAATATATAATGTTGGGGGGTTTTAAGTCATTTTCAGGCCTAAAATGTGGAATATAACACGTGTGCAAAAAATGAAAAAAGGGCCTCAGTCATGAAGGGGTTAAAAATAGCTCTTCAGAACAAAATGGTACTTACAAATTCTATGCATGTGATGAAAAAAAGAACTAGGAAATCACCGTTGTAAACTGCTCTGTGCAGATTTAGAAATGTGAGACCTTTTGGCTGCTAATGTGTGAGGGTACGACACATGGCTTGTTAGTGGTCTATAGGTTGCCCATACATGTTTTATTCTTTCTTTTATCTGTATTAGTGCTAATGGTTTTGTAAACTGGCGTTATATTTATGTATCCCTTATCGGCAGCTCCATCTGGTCCATTGGAATACTAAGTATGACACTTTTGGTGAAGCCGTAAAGCACTGCGATGGTCTTGCAGTAGTAGGTGTTTTTCTAAAGGTAAGTCATTATTCAAGTTTTTTTTACCTAAACACAGCATTAGAACTGGTTGCAGAAGAACCTAGGGTTTCTTCTTCCTCTCTTATTTTATGTCTTAGAGTGGCTTAATTTCTCTCCCGTTCATTGAAGGACACAGGGCACAGATCGGAGATCCTGTACTGTAGGGTAATAAGCCAGGGGGTTGCATATGACTGGGGGTCTCGGCCGCCAAGTCACAGTACTCCCCACAGGCTTCTGGCGCTGCGGTCGGGGGCGCCAGTCTTCCGCAGTACCTGTGCACCTGGATCTTCAATGTTCCCTGCGCAGCTGCTTGACGTGGATGCTGCGGATGGTCCACGTTCCCCGGCGGTATGTATGGCCCTGCGTGGGCACGTGGTGGTGATGGGCGGGTCGGTGGGGGTCTGATCTCCCTTTGGGCTTCCTGACCTCCTTCAGCCACCCCCCTCTCCTCCCATCCCCCTTCGTCAGCTCCTGGGGTGGCGTAGGGGTGTTGTGGCACTGTGGGGCCTTGCCTTGGTTCCTGGCGGCCGGCGAGAGCAGCTGTGGCTTCTTGGGGCCGTGTCCCGCTGCGTTTTTTGGGGTCGGGCTGCCGCGCTGGTGCTGCTGTCTCTGGGGCGCGTGGCCCGCTCTGTTCCTCCCGCGTGTGCGCGGGGGCCGCTAATCGAGCCCCCGGCTTCGTTTGCGGCCTTCTCGGAGGCCGCGGCCGCCATGTTTGTTGTGGGCGCGTGCGCCCTCTTCGTGACGTCACTTCCGGTGCGCCACTTCCCGGTCCCCGTAATAGCGCGTCACCCGGCCGGCTCGGTCTTTCACGCCGGGACGCGGTCGGGTGAGGACGCACTGGGACACGGGGAGTCAGCTACTGTAGAAAGGTCGTCTGCCTGCGGGGGGTCGATTGCTGGGGACAACTGCGGTGGGGGCGGTGACTGCCGGGGACTCCCTTGCCTTGCTTGTGGCCCTAGTTTAACAGGTTTGGGGCGCAAAGCTATATTACCGGGGACATGGACTGTGGGGACGGTCTGTCCGCAGTGCCCTGTGAGGGCTGCGGCCTCTCTTCAGGGACATCTCCCACGTCCCCCCTTTGCGCGGCCTGTACTTCTGCGCCCCTTTCCCAGTCTCCCTTGGTGCCTGTGGGGTCTTTGGGTGGGGGGTCCACCGGCGCTATGTTGTCTTTGGAGGCTTTTTCCTCCACTATGGACGGTTTTGTGTCCCGTTCTGTGAACCCTCCACAGAAGCGCACGTTGCCGGCCCCCTCCCCAGTCCTTTCTGGGGATTCTGAGGAAGAGGGGGAAATTTCGGCGGTGGCCGCGCAGCCCGACCTGGGGGATTCCTCCCAGGCGGAGTCTGCTAGTGACGAAGAGTCGGGGACTGCCCTTATATTACAGGAACGCGAATTGGTCACGGCCTTGGTTCGCGCTGTGCGGGAAACTCTTAAAATTGAGGAGACTCCGAGCTCTTCGGCACTCCCGCCGGTTCCTTTTGGGACGCACAGGAGTAGGCGTTCCACTAAGGTTTTCCCTTACGTTCCTTTTTTTGATGACTTTGTCTACAAGGAGTGGAAGCGCCCGAGCAAGTGGTTTTCCGTCCCCAAACGCTTCTCGATTCGTTATCCTTTTGAGGAGTCCTTCCTGTCCAAGTGGTCTACTCCCCCCGCGGTGGATCCGCCGGTTTCTCGCCTGAACAAGGCTACGGTCATCCCGGTGGAGGATTCGCCTTCCTTTTGGGATCCCTCGGATAGGAAGGCGGAGGCAGTGGCGCGTACTATGTACTCGGTTTCCGGGGCTCTGTTGCGCCCCGTGTTGGCTTCGGCCCTGGTCTCCCAGACCTTGACTGAGTGGATGAAGATGCTGCGTCAGGGTCTTGCAGAAGAAAACGTGTCTCCTGCTTATGTCGACATTACGGAACAGGTGGTGCAGGGTCTGCAATACCTGTGTAATTCGGCCTTGGATGCTGCACCGTTGGTTTCCAAGCTGCCTGTGTCGGCGGTTACTCTTAGGCGCCTCCTCTGGCTTAAATGCTGGTCGGCTGACCAGGCTTCCAAGAAGGCTCTGACGGAGCTCCCCTTTACGGGGGAGCATCTGTTCGGGACTACCTTGGATGAGATCATTAAGGATTTGACGGGCGGTAAGAGTACCTTCCTACCTCAATCTAAAAAGCCTAGGGAACAGCGGCGGAAGCCGGGTCCTTCCTTTTCGGCTCACAAGCAGCTTTTTCGTCCGCCTCCGCCCTCTGAGAAGGGCGGGAAGTTCAACAGACCGCCGCCTTCCCAGGCCGCCAAACGCCCCTGGCAGCCCAGGAACGCCAAGCCCCAGGGTAAGCCCACCTCGGCATGAAGGCCTTCCCCCATCCCGGGATTCCAGGGTGGGGGGACGTCTTCGGCTCTTTGCAAGCCGCTGGCTGTCCCGCGTCTCCGACACCTGGGTGCGGGAATTGGTGTCCTTCCAACACCCGTCTTCCCCCCTGTATTGAGTACGAGCATCAATATTTTTTCTTTCAGTACTCACCGATACCGCATTCTGATACCGGAAGTCCCATTAAGGAAGCCAGGCGGCTTTCGTGTAATGACTCGCCACCTGGTTTCCTGATTAGCAGGGAAGCCATCCCCATGCTTCTCGTCATGAGCATGGAGTACATGAGGTGACGAGGGAGCATGAAGCTGGCTTCCTGGCCAATCAGAAAGCTGGGCACCGCATCATTACACAGGGCCCGGCTTCCAGATTGGCCAGCTTCCCGACCAATCAGGAAGCCGGGCAGGGAGTCATTACACGCTGCCCGGCTTCCTGATTGGCCAGGAAGTGACGAGAGATTGGCCAGGAAGTCATCGCAAGTGACGAGAGAGCATGGAGCCGGCTTCCCAACCAATCAGGAAGCCGGGCAGCGTGTAATGATGCGCTGCCCGGCTTCCTGATACAGGAAGTATCGGGCTAGGCATCGGAGCATTTGGGCGAGTACGGGTACTCTCCCAAATACTCAGCATTGGCACCAATACCGATACCATTATTGGTGCATCCCAAGTCAAAACCCTGAGCAGAATTTTCTGCAACATGGGTAATAATTACTTTTTTAAAAGGTAATTTATTGCAACAAGGACCTGGAGTGGTCTGTTTGCTGGGCGGGAGGTAGATTGTGGCCTTACTATGACAGATCACATCCCTGTTTTAAGGAAAGGAAGCAAATAGATTTACTGTTACTATGCCACACCAGTGTAATTTATTCCCAGTGAATTGATAGACTGTATTTTTTGGGTCCAGCTTCACAAATTTGTGTTAATGTAATGTGTCAATGTGTTTTTGTGTTAATGTAAGAAGATGTTCTTCCACTCTGATATTTGGGAGGCATGTAAGGAATGTGGTTGTATTTCCAATCTTTTTTTGTAATGATAATATTACTGAGTTGGATTTGTGTAATGTGTATATGGCTTGTGTATTGTATAAACACAATAGCGGAGGAAATTATGGTTGTAAAAAGCACTATCATACCATTTAACTGCTGTGCAACAGTTTACAGTATACTGCGGTAGTTCTAAGTATACACAAAGTTGTTGTATTGTATACAGATCAATGCAGGAATACACATATCGGGTATTGCATAAAATATGATCATAAACTTGTTGAATGGAGTTCAGAGAAAAATAGTCATCAGGTAAAGGTGCAAATATTTTAGAAATCCAGTGAGTGAGGCATTCACTTCCTGCTATATAAACATGCCATTTACCTAGAAGTCATTTCTGCTTTTGAAGAGACTTGTTTGCATACGAATCCCAGGAAACCTTGTGTGACCTTCACCGTTTCTGCTTTGTGTCTTTCGACAGCCATTTATCAGAAAGGGAATTAAAGATGTCTTAAAGTAGTTTTAAACTCTAAACCTTTTTTTCAATAACGAATCCAGATCAAACAAATATACTGTACATTGCTCAGCAAAGTATATTTTTGCATTTTTGCCCAAACACAGAAATCATATTTCCAAACAACTGGCTTGAACTCTCTCAGCACGGCTTACCTGAACTTCCTGTCCAGTACAAGATCACAAAGGGCAGCACAGTCTCCAGCAGCTGTCCATCTACTAGCTTGAAGAAGGGAGAAGAAAAGAGGGAGGAAGGTGGAGAGGGGGCCAGGGGGGAGGGAAATGGCTTGTTTTGCTGTGCCTGTGTTTTTGTGAAGACACACACAGCTTACTAGCACACACAAAGATGGCTACATAGGACCCTGCAAGGGAAAGGAACCACCCTAAAATAGGAAGTCAGGGCAAGTGCTTAGAGGACCAGCTGATTCTGCTGGAAACTAAAACGTTTACACATCAAGGAGCAGTATCTATTTTATGTGATTTGATCAGCATTTGAAATACCTTAATACCATTTTGTAATATTGTAATATACAGTAACTTTAACGCAGAAGAAAGAGGGGGACAAAGCAAGGTAGCATATTCGCCCCCTCCTTCCCTTTTCTTGATATTGATGAGGATTGCAGAAGACACAGAAAAGCTGCCCTGTTTGCATACCCTGTAGTAGCATGGCAACATCAGACACCAAAAGCATACAAGTATATCTCCCATTGTGAATTAACATCTAGGTGCACAGCTTTGACCCATTGACCTATCCCCTGGTTTATTGCAGGAGCAAAATGGTTATAGCTGAGCCCCCTGGACATTCATAACCCTGAGCTGGCCACTCACCTATCCATTTATGCTAAACTGTGTGGATGGAGGAATTTCCTACTGGGCTAAGCTTCAGTATCTTGCTAGTCGGCCCCGCTGGCTCTCAAAACACCTGAACAATGCCTGCATCCAATCAGATTGTTCAGGTACTTTAACAGCCAGCGGGGCCGACTAGCAAGATACTGAAGCTTGGCCCAGCGGGAGATTCCTCTGTCCAGAATTCCTAGTTTTCTGGTCATGTGATGCATGGTGTTGCCAATCTTTCTTTGTTACCAGCAATGGCTTCACACAGAGCTTTAACAAAATGTCAGAGACAGCAAAGGAAAAGCAAAAAATAAGCCTTGACTGTGTGATATGAGGCTACTCAAATTTAATAGATTCCTAAAGAGGAACTTTACCCACCAATTCAATGTCTCCCAAAACAGTTACTTTCAAAACAAGCCAACTGTCAGCCGGTGTTAACCTCTAAGTCTGGCATATTATTAAATAGAGGTGAAGTGGGATATTATTTAAAGATTGTTCTTCAATATGGCCGTAACATTAGTAAACGTGTCATAGGCCTGTGCCATGCAAACTGAGCATATGAAGTCAAAAAAGCACATACCTAGAGATTATATTCAGTGAATATTACATGTAAAAATGATTGGCAGAACCAAAGGCAAAGAGATAAAGGTAGCTGAAGTTATATCCAGTTCCTAACTTTTTCTTGTAAAAGACAAACTTTTCCTGTGCTTATAACCATCCTTTATGCTTCTCTGTTGTGTAGTGGAGATGGTCATACCATTTAGGGAACAGTAGGTTAGCTAGGTAGGGGTTCTGCATCCTTTTTAAAGGAAAATTTAAACATGTGCTTATAACTTCAGCTTCTTAGATGTCTATTACCTCTACTTCTGTTTATGTCTTTTTTCATCATGTGCGCAAATTGAATTGCGCACATGAGAGAGGTAAACTTTAACTGGAAATGTTATAGAATCAGGAGCAAGGTACAAAGTTGTACACTGCCACTCTGCTTCACAAAGCATATTCAAAGGATATCATTTAACAGTATCTCGTATATGACTATAATTTGCTAGATTTGAACTGTTTGCCTCCTATGGACTATGTATAATAAAGAATGTATGTGTACTAATGTACTGCAGGGAGCCCCCTTTCCTTTGCAAGACCTTCCCTTTTCATTGTATGTGTACAGTTCACCCAGTGAGCCATTCTACTAAGAGGTGTGTAAGCAGATGTTGATTTTTTCTTGTATAGTATAAATTGCTGTCACCTTCCCTCGTATTTGTAGACTAGACATGACCAGCAAGCCCTGGCACTCTCCATCTGTTCCTGTCATGGAAGAAACACATTAACTTTCTATGAATTCTTCAGAAGCTATTAATACATTATTTTCTGCTTTTCTAATGTTCGTGAGACATTATGCAATTTATCTCTGTGGAGATATGTAGAATATCAAGCCACTGGTAAACAGATCTGTACCTAAGAATGCTGGCAAGGGAGACCCTCATTGGAGGAACTTGTATACCCTCTGTAAAGCAGGCATTGGTGGCATGCGTACAACCTCTATAGAGCAGGCGTTGATTCAGTATAGAAGGTATTAGTTGTGCGTGTACACTCTCTGTATAGCAAGTGGTGATGATGCATGTATACCCTCTGTACAGAGGGTATTGGTGATGCATGTATACCCTCTGTATAGTGGGTACTGGTAATGCATGTATACCCTCTGTATAGTGTGTATTGGTGAGGCATTTATACCCCCTGCATAGTGGGTATTGGTGATGCATGTATACCCTCTGTATAGTGAGTATTGGTGATGCATGTATACCCTCTGTGTAGTAGGTATTGGTGAGGCATGTATACCCCCTGTATAGTGGGTATTGGTGGTGCATGTATACCCCCCTGTATAGTGGATGTTGGTGGTGCATGTATACCCCCCTGTATAGTGGATGTTGGTGATGCATGTATACCCTCTGTATAGTGAATATTGGTGATGCATGTATACCCTCTGTGTAGTAGGTATTGGTGAGGCATGTATACCCCCTGTATAGTAGGTAATGGTGAGGCATGTATACCCCCTGTATAGTGTGTATTGGTGGTGCATGTATACCCTCTGTATAGCGGATATTGGTGGTGCATGTATACCCTCTCTATACGGATATTGGTGGTGCATGTATACACTCTGTATAGTGGGTATTGGTGATGCCTGTATACCCTCTTTAAAGACGGTGTAGTGGTGCTTGTGTACCCTATAATGATAGTTGCTGGTGTTTGTATAACCTTTTTATAAGGAGTGCTGCTGGTGCGTGCACAACCTATGTATAGTAGGTGTTGGTAGAGTTTATACAACCTCTGTATAGCATGTGCTGGCAGTGTGTGTACAGCCTCTATTGAGCATGTGTTGATGAAGTACTGGGACTTTTAGGGCTTCTGAACAGCAGATGTTGGCGGAATGCATATAGCCATTATATATTTGTGTACACTCATACTGCTATGTACATCCCTGCTCTAAAAAAGTGGAAATCCAGCAGTGGTGGAGAACAGGGCGGGGGGATAATGCACATTCGGAGTCTGTTATTCCTATAGTATATTGTGTTTGTTTAAAAATGTAAAGTGGAACTAAGCTCCCCTGGCTTCCTCAGGAGTGCCGACATCTTTACCTGATCTTTTTTGGGTTTGGGATGTTTGGCCATCTTGATTAGCGATGCCAGTATGAGACAGCACTGAGGTGTTCTGAGAATGTACACCGAGCTACATATGCGCAGTACAGTGTACATTCTGAAGAAGACTGCAACCAGGTAGATAAGTTTGTTTTATTGCAGAATAGATATAGTATGTCTCTTTTGTATTAAGAAACCTGCCTGCTCGCAATTTTTTTATACAGTTTAGTTCCACCTTAATGAAGATTTGATAAGGATGCACCTGCTTTGGTTCAGCTGATGTTTCTTAATCTGTTAATCAAATTAAATAGTATTTCCTAACAATAAGCAAACTGCTTCATCAATGTTCAAAGATAATATCATGATTACTTTATTGAATAGTTCATAAAATTCTGTGCGCTGTAAATTATATCTGGTTTTCTTATGCCAGTCTTTATTTGTCTCCTTTGTATTCAGGTAGGAGAGGCCAGGCCACAGTTTCAGGCAGTGATTGACGCCTTAAAATTAATTCCAACAAAGGTAACATCTACTGTGCTTTTCAATTATTGCTTGAGACAAAAAGCCAAGCGAATTCACAGAGCTCCATAGTGACTTATATTATCTTATCTCATACTGCTCTATGAACTATGTGTAGTCTTGTGAAAAGGAATGGGAGTACGGGTTTAATATCTATTGACAGTTTCCAAACAAAGAACGTTTTTTCCAGTCTGTAATTATGCATTTAGATTTCTTGACTCGCCACTGTATCAAGAGCCACCAGATTGAAGCTACCTGCATAACAGTCCAATTTTTTAAGAATCTCACAAAAAGAATGTTATTTCTTTTTTCAGGGAAAACAGGCTCCCTTCCACAACTTTGATCCTTCAGGGTTGCTTCCAAAATCTCGGGACTTTTGGACCTATAAGGGATCTCTGACAACTCCACCACTACTGGAGTGCGTAGTCTGGAACGTCCTAAAAGAGCCAATTACTGTGAGCAGTGAACAGGTATGTCTAAATCAGCATTTTGCGTTGTCACTTCGAGTTAGGCTATCACAATGCAAAATAATCATCAGATAATTTCAAACCCACCCAGATGTGGTATTTTCTGCAGCAGTGTACAGCATTCACAGCTGAAATTGTGTTCAATCAGAACCTCAACTTTCTTAAATACCTGCCACAAAGCCAGGAAACTCAAACTGAGGATATAATGAAAACATGTATGAGCTTGTGTGTTGTGGTCTATCCTAGTCCATCTTATGGTGCCCATACACCTTACGACCATCGCAAGACTTTTGTCTTGCGATGGTCGTAAGCTTATTAAAAGCTCGTACGATCTGCCCATCTTGGACAGGCTGATCTTACTTGCGATCATCGCAAACGCGCCCCGCTGAGGGGCAGGCTTCCGATGACCGCCATGAGGGGCGGCTTCCGATCACTGCAAAGGGGCAGTGTGCGCATGCACACACCGGCCCGTTCGGCAGTTGTCGAACAAGCAGGCCACTAACCCGCCGAGAATCGTACGATTCTCAGCGGGTTTTCAAGCCTGCTTGTTCGACAGAAGACGTGCGACCGTACAGTAGAAACGGTCGCACACCTTCCATACACTGTACGATTATCGTACGATCGCGGGATTTCCTGCGATTCTCATACGAGAATCGTACAGTGTATAGGCACCTTTAGTGAGGTCTATCCAATGTTCTGAGGATTACCTGTGAACTCTGGAAGCTCTTTTAGACTCCGTTCACACATTAGCGGTTTTCCGCGCATATTCGTATGTGCAAAACATAAAAACTAATACAGTACAATGTACTTTGTTCACACCTGCACAACGTCTGTGCAGCACGAAAACGCAGGTCGCGCAAAAAAGCCAGATCACAATATTCTGGGGGGTTTCCGCGCGTTCTGGCTATAGTAAAATCTTTTAAAATGTACATGTTTTCATGCCGCAGAAACGAACACGTAGAAAACGGCACTGAATTTACAACTGCTATGTGTGAATGGAGCCTTAGAGAAAAGTAGAACCGATACATTTCTGCCCTCTCCCCCTAACAATGGAAAGAAAATGGGAATAGTAAGTTAAAATAAATGTTTTAGCATTTAAAAGTTCAAAAACCACCTATAAACAGTATGCAAGTTTAGATTCTAAGATCTACCATGACTGTCAGTTTTCCTGCAGAGGAACCTCCCTTATCTTATAAAGACATCAGTATTTTTAACCACCAGCATAGTCTGATTACAGTGTACATTTTTCTCTTGAATTAATGTAGATGAGCCAGCTTTCATAAAATTTTAAATTGTACCAGTCATATGTGCACAGTGCCTTGTGCAGCCTGTTTAGTCAGCTGGATCCTCTACCATTTTTATCTAGGCGCAGTGCTAAATGAGGGTACTCATGAGACTGTGCGGCCCGGTACCATTTGATCCGCGGACCGGTACCGGTCCGCGGACCGGGGGTTGGGGACCACTGCTCTAGCACACTGAAAATAAGTTTACACCCTTGGTATGTAAGTTTGTATAATGTAACTAATTTATTATTTTGCAAACCAAATTGTTTTGGAAATTTACTTTTCATTAGGTACATTGCACACTATAAACTTCAAAACATCTGAGTTTGAAAAAGCTTGGACAGTGGTGTTCACCTGAGAAGCTCTATATAGCGATAGAAGGGGAAGGGAAAAGGAAGAGCCGCTGGCTTGGTTTTATTAGCTATTTCTGTTTCTCCTGCACCCTCCTCCCCTGCTCTTAGGAAAAGTAAATTCCTAATCTAGGAAAATACTAATTGGAAAATGAAAAGTTGCTAAATAGGTCTGCCAACTTAATGTGGTTGTATATGATGCTATAATATACAATGACATGCAGGTAGGGGGTTGTTGTGTTTTAGTTGATTTACTAAAGTTGTGGTGGTATAACTAAAGTTGTAGAGAAAATCAACTTGTCAGCAAATATTTATTTACTTTAAATACCCAATCTTGTGAATTGGGAATTTAAAGGATTCTTGCTTGCACATGATCAGACTATTAGTTGTTCTACTCTCACCTTCCCCTTATTGCACACGGAGCATCATCTTCACAATGTGTTTTTATTAGCTAGATCACAATCTCTTTAAAGGAGAACTATGGGGTAAGTGTTTTTCCCCATAGTTCTCCTCAGGGTCACTGGAGGACATAAACTAGCGTCCTCCCGTGACCCAAAGCTCAGTATACCGCGAGCTACAGTTGGCTCGGACTATGAGCTTGAGTGAAAATCAATCACCTCATAGTTCTCAATCACCTCATAGTTCTCCTCCAACTCTTTATATATTATGGCCCCAAATGTTGGGTACTGTTTATGAGGACACCAGTTCTCAGTCTGCCATTTTATTAGAGCCTCAAATCCAAGTCAACAAAATCTAATTTATATTAGTTCTACTAATCTTAGGACCTCAATCAATTATTGATTGTTGTTTGGGATCCTAAACCTCAGAATTGGATGAAACTCTGGAGTTTGTTGTGCTTTGTAAATATGTGACAACTATTAATAGCATGATTTGGGGCCTTGTTCACATTTGAGACTCAGTGGAGTTATCCATGCCTCTGATAATATATGCTTCCTTGAACATGACATTACATTTCATTTCTCATGTTCTTCTCTAGCTGTCAGGGCTCCGAGGCCTTTTCTTCAACGATGAGCAAGACAGTCCCTGCCACATGGTTGACAACTATCGCCCACCACAACCACTGAAGGGTCGTACTGTTCGAGCATCGTTCCATTAGAAGGAGAACCGCCCATCCGTGCTGCGAATCTGTTCGCTAATGTTTAATTATCTTTCACTGTGTGCAAACTGAAAGCCTTTTTTTTCTCTATGCTAAATTTCTAATACCCTGGCAAGTATTAGGATCTGATTAATGAAATGTGAAAATCGACTGACATAGGCAAATCATTTATAATGTGAGATGCTGCTTAGAGCTAGCTTCAGCTTATTTCCTTCCAAACAATGCTGCACTTACTATGGGAGAAGGGAACATGTTCCCTGTAGATTCTTCTAGAATTATGTCTTAACAAAACGCAGATAAAAACTTGAATGAAATACGTACATACACTGCTATGTATTTTATAATGTGAACTAATGTGTGTTTCAAATATTACCTATTCCAGAGGAAGAAATATTAATTTTAATGAGTGTAAATATTTTAAATATATATATAGATATATATATATATATATGACAGATATATATATAAAAGAGTCTTATTGGTGCTTGTTTTGCACAGTCTTACATTTCCAAACTGAATTTAATGAAACAGGAAATTATCATTGTATTTTGGATACCATAATAAATACTATAACTCATGCTAAGTTGCCTTGTCTCCTTAATGATTGCATTTGTGTCCTCAGTACAATGAAGAAAATGTGCCACTGTTAAACTAGCGCAATGTTTCTGTTATTAAAGTGATGGTAAACTTAGCAGTTAAACCTTAAAAATGCATTCAAGTGCCCTCACTATGAACACAAATGTAGATAATTGGGGAATCACTTGGATGTAGATCCTCAAGCAATCTCTGAATTGGTGCTGACACTGTCCTTCCTTCTGGAGGGTGGCTACTTTTGTTCCCCATGGTCCCTGTGTGTGTTGTAAAGTAGCCACCACTCCTGTGATGTACTACAATCTCAATACAAATTAGCAAACTAAACAAAAGATTGTAGTCCATCTCAGGCGACTGAGCTTGGAGCGGTGGCTACTTTACAACACACACCGGGACCATGGGGAACAAAAGTAGCCACCTTCCAAAAGGAGGGACGGTGTCAGCACCAGTTCAGAGATGATTTGAGGATCTACAGCTGAGTGATACACAAATGAGATACATTTTTGTTAATAGTTAAGGTATTTGAACTGTACACTGTACAGTGTCTATGCATACAGAATAGGAGAAGGGGTACTGTACAGTGTCTATATGTACAGAACAGGAGAAGGGGTACTGTACAGTGTCTATACATACAGAACAGGAGAAGCGGTACTGTACAGTGTCTATACATACAGAACAGGAGAAGTGGTACTTTACAGTGTGTATACATACAGAACAGGATAAGGGGCACTGTACAGTGTCTATACATACAGAACAGGAGAAGGGGTACTGCACGTTGTCTATACATACAGAACAGGAGAAGGGGCACTGTACAGTGTCTATACATACAGAATAGGGGAAGATGCACTATACATACAGAACAGGAGAAGTGGCACTGTACAGTGTCTATACAAGTATACATACATAATATAATGTCCATATATTTTAAGAATATCACAGACAACGAGAATTACACCCATTCCACAGAGCAGCTTCCATACATACAGTGCAGAATAGACATAAAAAAATTGCCCTCATTGTACAGAACAAGAAGTGCTATGATGCCATGCCCATACATACAGAGCGTGAACAGTTGCAGGAAATTACACACAACAAAAAAACATACCAAAAATAGTGATGTCACTTATGTACAGAGATAACAGCAAGAGAAAGAAGAAGTAAATAATGTAAAGATATAGATTATGTAACAAATTACTCACATTTGAAAATGATTTTAAAAAAAGATGCAGATAAAGGAGATATTGCAATGGGGTTGTTTTATCAAAGGCAAATAGGCTGTTCATTTTGCAGAGGAATTTTCCCTTAGCTTCATGAATGTGATTAAAATTCTCTTTGCAAAAAATACCCAATCACCTGGAAGGAAAAGAAGAAGAAAAATTGTATTTTTGCTTGCATATGATTGTATGATGTAAGATAGCAGTACTTCCCCTCATTCACTAAGCTGAGGGAAAATTCCCTTGCAAAGTGAACAGCCTATTTGTTTTTAGTAAATCAACTCCAATGAGCTCTCAGCTTTCGGACATTATATTGTGCTTCATATTCTATGGTCTAGGGATCCACGGTTTATTTCTAGCCTTTTTTTCGTCCTTTGAGGGGTCAGCTGGTCACTTCTTTAATTTTACCCTGATATGGTTCTGTTCTCTATTCTTGTTTTTGGCTGACCTTATCTGTCTACTTAACCATGAAGCCACTCTGCTCCCTCACTGTGCTTGGTCTGGACACGGAGTGACCTATGAGAAATGCTGGTGAAGCCAGGGGGACTAATAAACGCTAGGAGGATTGGAAAGGGGGACAAATCAGATGGCATTCCCGCTGGCACTGGGTGACAGGCACAGCTGCATGTTTGTTTGTATCAGTTACATTTGCATAAGAACATTCACAAATTATATTCTGTTCACACAGCGGTCTAGTGCTGAAAGCATTATTCAGCATCAGTATTGTCCTATTATGTAAACTACATAGAAGAGGAAGGTATGGTGTTTTTATTACAGAACATGTATTACTAGAGTCCTCTGAGGGCTCATTCCCACCAGATGAGTTGTTTAGCATTTTGCTGCATTTCCCAGTGCAGGTAATACGCATTGACAGTATCAATCGACTTCAGAATGGTCTGTTCACACCTAGGGGGTTATTCACAAAAGGGTGAAGAGTTTGGAGAAGGCAGGAGAAGTGAACAATCTAGGCCAAAATAGCTGATTTGGAAAAATTCTCCAATTCAGCTCACTTTCCAGTTCAGCTATGTTGTCCTAGATTGTTCACTTCTCCTGCCCTCTCCAAACTCTTCACACTTTTGTGAATAACCCCGTACTAATGTATGCATTGTGAATGTAAAGATATGCTGTAGTTAGATGCATTGTTTGCCATTCAACTAAATTTAAATGGATTCTTCAAAAACATAATGCAGCATGGCAACCTGTCCCACTGCAAGTCAATGCAATACTTATTAACACAAGTTAAATAAAATAAATGCAAAACACCCTAAAAATATTTTAAAGTCCCCCACCAACGCATAAACACACATACTAATGCAAACATGCATCGGGTGCGTCTAGGTACGAAAACAACATTTGCTCCACACATGTTAGGTATCTCCACGTATGCCAGAGTGAGAGTAATAATTCTAGGGCTATTATTCACAGCTATCTATAAAACGATGGCTTGCACAAGCTTTTAAAAAATCCCCTACAAGCAATTTTGGTTACCATAGTTTTTCACGGGTGCGCCCAATTTTAAAGCTTGACATGTTGAGTATCTATTTACTTGGTGCAATCTCCTCTTTTATATTTCACCAAAAATTGGGTAATATATTGTGTATATTGTGTCTATGTGCACTAAAATTAATGTAAGTGTTATTTTCACTGGAAATTTGGGTTTGAGAAACAGTTGCGCTAATATCATGAGGCATAAAAAAAAATTGCAACTGCCACAATTTTCTTCTACAGGGTCTCTGCTTTCATCATTTAACATCATTTAACATGTGTACAAAATAAACGCAAAACTGGTTCTGCCAATGAGAGTTAAAGCCACTGAACTGGGCAACATGTTTACAATGAAGTCCGCCATATTTTCATTATGACACGCTCCATTTCTGCACTTTAATTTAGCCCATAGATCATCTGGCAGCATGTAGTAAGGCCTCACTCAAACTGGGCATACATGTCCGTGCGGCGTGCATGCCCATAAATGACCCGATCCCGGGAGGTACAGGTGCTGTAGGTAATTGCGCGCAGCAGCCTGTTCTTCACCATCTGAATGAGGCCTAATTGTCGTCATGTGATAACTCGTATCACAAAATTCTACATTCGATATTTGCTGGTATGGGATGATGATTTATGCATGTGGCACATTTTCATTTACTATTTTTTGAGCACATTAGTGTGAGTACTTGCTGAAAACCTACATCAGTGACTGATCTTTATTGTCTGAAGTCTCGGGACGTGAAGCTTCTCACAAGTGCTATGAAAACTAGACTTGATGTGTTAGCCATGCGTGCTGGAAAACTGTCAGTTCAGACTTCAAGCAGACAGCTGTGATGAGCAAAAACCACTATAAGGCCGTGTTTATTTATGGAAATTCCACGTGCCCATTACTGTTCATAACTGATAAGCCCCTTTGCCCATGGCACACAGCCATCTAATTTCCTTCAAAATATATAATGAACTCATTACAGTATATATCTGTTTTATACAAAGACTGGAGACAATCTATATTTACTGTTGTTAGTAAGTATGGCTTAATTATGAAATGTGAAACAAAAAATTAGCTGTTGTCTATGACAACCAATCATAGAATTTCTTTTGGTCCCCTTCATATTAATGCATTGAGGTAATGTGCATTTTAGTACTGGGCACTATATTCAGTGAGCTGTTTAGAATGACACCCCAACGCACAAGTACAGTAAGGGCCTGTACACAAGAAATAATGCTGGTCACTACTAGAGCACATAGAAAATGTTTTTTTTTACATTTAACACTTTCGCTGCCAAGCCCTCTGGAACGCTTTCAACCTCAGCTGGCCACACCATTTTTGCAATTGTTCCCATTGTTTTGATTTTCTATTGCTACGTTGCTAGCATTTGTAAAAGACCCCCCAAACCATATATGTTCTAAAGGCACAGGCCCGGAAGAATAAAAAGATGGTGCTACTAATGTTGTAGATCCTGTGATAATTGCGCAAATGGTTGGCAAATCAATATAAAACCGATAAAAATACACAATTAAATTGATAAAGCACACTAAAATCAGTATCAGTCCACAAAAAAAAAAAAATTTCTGACTAAATCTAAAAGATAAAACTGTATAGAGTTAATAACAAATATTTGTAAATTTTAAATTGCACCTTTTTGCGAAATGGTAAAAAAATGAAGTAACACAAGAATGTAAATAAGCAACTTATGTTAAAAATCATTTGTGAACTGTGTTGGTGTGTGTGTTGTGATAAAATGATACAGATGTACATTTAATCGCAACACAGCATATCAGAATGCTTTGCTATGCACTGCCACAGTTAAATTAATGTTAATTTAAAAAAAAAAGAACAAAAATCAAGCACTGCACTGCGTAAATATTTTACTATAATCTAGTTATGAATGGGAAGAAGCCTCTGTAGTGAGTGCTACTACCCATTCAGAAACAAATGAATGAACAGGAACGTTAGGCACTTCCTGCTCATTCATAACTGGGAACATATAGTACTATGTGTCCCCAGTTGTGTACAAACACTGGAATGATCAGCTGATCACTTCAGTGTTTGCTCTGCACAAAGGACCGGTAAATATCACAAATATTTACTGATCCTCTGCTTGGTCACACACAGAGACACTGTCATCCTAAAACTGATAGGATGACAGCGTCTCTGCTCTCCTCCCTGCTCGGCTGTGGCTCCTCTCCTGTAGGACAGCGATCCCACCTCCCCACCTCCCCTTCCTCAGCCCATACAGGCTGGCGAGAGCAGCAGGGATCCGAGGCGAAGCAGATCCCAGCAT